TTTGAGCTACGGGGCTGGGAGTTGGCACAGGAGGGTAATCGAGCAGGCTGATTACACATAATAATGACAGGGCCGGGCGGAGCCGGGTAAGTCAACTAGTTGAAAATATTTACGTATTTAGCCACCAGTGGAAAATCAAGAAATGTTTTTTGAAGTGAGGACAACTCAGACAATACACCGGAACTTCCGCAGGACAAGCAAAATTTGCAGCGGTTCCGCAGGTTTCTTTTTGCTGTTACAAAAATGGACACGCTGGAAATGGGAACTTCGCGGAATTTCACGTCAGACTGGTTGAAAACAGGAGCTTCCGCAGGACTTTTTACAAAGCGCTGCGGAATTTTCGAAAAATGCCAGCGGTTCCGCAGCACTTTGACATGCCAGTACTTCCGCAGGATTTGAATGTGTTGTATCGTATGATGTTGCCTCGCCAACAACTAGAGTGCATTATCGAACATGTCAGCCGAAGTGCAGAGGATAGCAGGTGAGTCTCACAGTCAATAGATTAAGGTTCAAATTTCGTTTAGGGGTTTCTCTTTTGCTGTTATGGTTGGCATTCTTCGAAACTTCCGCAGCACCTCATCTGGGATCTTCCGCAGCACGTTCATGAAATTCCGTAGGTGACCGGCGGAACTTCCCCTAACGTTTTGCGGAAGTTCCAATAAATAGTCTAGTTTGAGACTTTTGGAGGAGACATATCAACGATCAAACAGTGTATACTTGCTTTCAGGCCATTCTGTGTATCGCACAGAATTTCTTAACATTAGCAAGAAAAATCTAGGTTTTCCAAGAAGGTATTCTTGACAGGTATTATGATATCTGGAAATAGCGGTGAACTTTACCTGTTATTAGCGTTGAAGCGAAAAAGCGAAATTTTACTTTTCATAGCTCATTCCAATATACCGTAACCTTAGATTCTAATCTATGATTTTTTTGTCTCCTCTCAACAGTTAGCGCCGCATGCACTAACATCCCCGCGGGGAGGGGATCGCAGCTTAAAAGAAAGCTTTATATTTCGAAACTCCAGATACCTGGATTTCACGTTGTGTACCTATCCGTAAGTATTCCTATTACCCTTCACTATGAACATGTTGAACAGGAGCGAAAAGCTGTACAAACCGCATTTTCCAGCTTTTGTATGATCCCTGATGATCCCTGGCGCTTTTCTTCAAAGTCATTTTTCTTTCTCAGAAGTTAACGAGGAATCTCCAGAGTTGTGCAGATTGTCTAACCCGACAGTGCTAAGCATGTTGCTGCTAAGAACAAATGATGTTTTGAAGTCATGAAATTTGCGATTCCACAGGTCGAACTTTGAGGCTTACCGAAAAATTCGACTTTTCAAAAAGTCATTTGTTCTCATCAGCAACATGCTTAGCAGTATTGTGTTAGATGTTCAGTACAACTTTGGAAGGTTTTCGTTAACTTCGGAGAAAGAAAAATGACTTTAAAGAAAAGCGCCGGGGATCATCAGGGATCATACAAAAGCTGGAAAATGCGGTTCGTATCATAGTGAAAGGTAGTAGGAATACTTACTGATAGGTAGACAGCGTGAAATCCAGATATCCGGAGCTTCAGAATATGAAGCTTTCTTCTGAAGCTGCGATCCCCTCCCCGCGGGGATATTAGTGCATGCGGCCCTTAAGTGCAAAGGCTGTGACGTCCCCCCCCCTCCACCCTCAGAATTTTTTTTCTGGAGACAAAGAGAAGACGGCAGGAAGAAAGATTATCAGAAAGAAACAATCGCTGAAACTGCGATCACAGTAGTATCCGCTTACGTGCAAGCGATTATGGTTTTTCGAAGGAAACAAAACGATTCGGCGCACGATTGAACAAGGTCATCGTGCAAAATCGGCCTGTGATATTCATTCGCGTGTATGAGCGAGCTAAACGTCAACGGTGCATCGCATCATAAAGAAAACTATGCCGACCTGTTTTCCTGTCTGCTTGGAGTGTAATAGTGATTGCTAAAAAACACGCTATCACAATGTTATAGATTTGTAATTTGCCAACTTTTTGAAATAATAAGTTCAATTATTTATGTAAAACTCGTCGTAAAAACGGTGTGCTTTCATACTACTGTAATTATGACGAAAGAACTCTATCAGGGTAAGATTGATTTGAATCATCTCTAGCTTTCACATCATATCCCCCGAAAGTGATCTGAAGTTGAGAATTTTGTTGATTTTGTTAAAGGCACCGTCCACCCTAAGTTGAGGGTGTTGAACTTTTGGTAGCATATAATAGTAGGGACCTCTGTCAATCCAATGCCCAAGATGCGGTGCAAATTGTCGCTTTGGAAGCGAGAAAATCACTTCGAAACAGCGAAGATGCACGAGGACCCCCATCCATGCCCGCCCTCCTCCATCCATGCCCGCCCATTTGTGCGCGCCCATCCAATCACCGTAACGTAAAACCGGCCTGTGTGTTCTCCGGGACGGCGATTATCGGGGTTTTCGCGTATTCTCGACTTCATATTGGGAATCGGGAACATGAGAAGTCCTCGAAACGACAAAAATGTGGAAGTCGAAAATCTGGGTGGACGGTGCCTTTAAAGCTCTCAAGTTGAAAATCCAAGGTTCAAAGGAAATATATGTTAAGACTGTATCAATGTTCAGAATCTACGAACTGTAGGTTCCCAACTATCTAAGCCTCGCTGGCCTGAAAAGTTTTTTCAGATGGGGCGACAGAAATTTCTCAGTGAAGCGTGTGGCGCTACGCGTTCCAAAATTTTTTTTGGGTAGCTTCCCTAGATTTTCGCTCAGGTGAAAGTGCCGAACTTTGAAGGCTGAAACCACGCTCTTAAAGGCAGCCACGCTCTTACTTTGATACATTCCATAGAGGAAATGAGCTGTAACACAGGAATGATATCCACGAAAGTCCCCGCGAAATGAGCTTTTCGTGGGAATAAAATGGACTTAGTCCATGCGGTGCGGTAAGATATCGCATTCGCGAATCCATTCATTCCATACAAAATTTCCTCAGCAAACCTTTCTCCAACTTGCCTCAACCTGTTTACTCACTCTTGCAAACTCATTTCCACCAAGTCGTTGATATCTGACTAGACTGACCTAACATTGCAATGTCGGTCACGTAGATACTGTATTCTTTCCCACACCGTTACACCTCACAAAATACCATTTATTATCGATGACCTGCAACTAAATTATTTATTTCCAAGACTAAAATTCGTGCGATATCCGGGCCTTCGCTTTTCAAGGCTTCTATAATCTGCATTGAATCAAATTTGTATGTAGAGCTTTTTGCAGAAAGCAAACTTTGGCTTGCACTGCAATCTGTAGATCAAAATGTTTTTTTCATAGGAAACCTTGTACTACACACTACGAGTCTGCAAGAGATGACTTCGCAAATGTTCTACTTTAGCTCTTCTTTGTCTTTCAACGCTAATGTTTATATCTCTAATCAGTTGAATGTCTGGATTATTGCCAGTAAGAAATTCTTCACAGAATTTTTCTTGCTAGCTAGCATTTCAGTAGTTCTTGCGACCAAATGTAAAATCGCGTTTGAATTGCTGTCTTTGAGGCTCGATTCTAGAGATTAGTCAAAAGATAGCTACTAAGTAATTATACTGAAACGCAAATCTTTTTTATTTTTAAATACAAATCATGAATTTAGTTTTGGTTGATGATTTGAAGAGTTAACAAGCTTTGTATGATTCACATAGGAATTCTCGCATCGACATAATATTTAAAAACATTTGAGTTTGTTGGCGAATACTTTGGTGATTCACCCTTCTTCCATAATTTTTATAGCATTTGGAAAGAACACTCATTTCAGACTTCATAAAGGACATAAAACTTTTTCCACTCACTTTTTACCTTAAAATAGGCTAAGGAACACATTCTCAAAGAATCGCTTCAAAAATATGCAAAAAGGTCAAAAATGGACTTATTCCCAGCTCACCTTGCTGCTGAGAGTAATATGGGCTTTCAAGTCCATTCAAAATGGTGGTGAATCCCATTTTGCCCCATTTAAAATGGACTTTTCGCATGACTCCTTCGCAAGCGAGAACTCAGGTAGGGCTGAATCATTTTCATCACACCGCTTTGCCTCGTGGTTGCGATGAGATAAAAACTCTTGGATAACGCTAGCAAAGCAGATTCCGACCACTCTTCACCGCGAACGAATCAAATGGGGTTTGAAAGTCCATTTTCCTCCATTATGGAATTTCATGGATATCATTCCAGGATCTCATACGTGACATACAGTCTACCCCAATCGGGATCAGGCCGAAGCGTCGGCGTAAGTTTGCGCGCTCGCAGCGCTAGCGGTCTGCGCTGCATATGCGCGCTGTTGGAAAGAGCCAAAGAACTGAAGAGAGGGCGGAGAAGCAGACCGAGGGCGTGACCGCGAAACCCTAGCGACGCGGACTCCCGCCATGCCAATTTTGGCCTGTTTAGGATTGGGGCAGAGTGTAATACCGTAGGAGTGAAGGTAAGCCAAAACTCAGACTGCGTATGTGTAATTAACTTTTTTACTATGAAAAATACCCCTATTTTACAGAGTCAGTTAAACGGCAAGTAATAACCGCATCTGAAGGGAGGACGCTCGATAGATTGTGGCACTTCTATATACGATGATGCGTCTCGCCGAGCTGGATCGAACGGTGTCCTTCGATTCAGAATATGTCCATGCTGAAGCGAGATATGGCGATGCGATGCGGATTCCGACGTACTCTAGTGAAGTGCGGCGCACTCCGCTCTCTTCGGCGCACTCTAGCGCACTCTCTGGCGCACTGCAGCGCACTGTGGCTCACTCCGCTAGAGTGGACACTTTGTTGACGAATTATGAGCGGTATTGTATACCTACTTATTTGAACATTCCTTGCATAGCAGTCATTTATTTCCCTCGTTTTTCCTTGAAAGTTAATGCAAAGAACTGAACGACAAGTAAACTTACTGAACAAAGTGCAACTAGTAGAATAGAGAAGGTCACATTACTGATTACCTAATTATGCAGAAATGATTGTTCTTCGAAGAAAAATATCAGACACGAATTTTCTTGTCAGTGCTAAACATTCTATGAAAGATGGCCACTTGTACTACGCCAACGATAACATTTGTGATACAGAATATGATCACATATGCTTTGATGTAGTATGAATTTGACGCTTGCATTGCTTGATCTCGAAATGATACCTAAACCTTTTGTTAATAATAAAAGACTCTGTTATTTGAATTGCAGTTCTGTCGACCTTGTTGTAGGTTCTGATGTGATCGTAGATGTTCATTGTTCGTTCGGAAAGCGTATGCATGGAGTCCTAAACGTTACTAGCTCACCGAAAAAATGATTTCAAAGTAATTTTTTCATACCGTTATATTCGCGCTAAGCGCGTGAAGTTGAAGAAATTCTCTTAATGCTTTTTGGTATTTGTGTGGATGATGAAAGAATATGTGGAGACCTATTCTTGTGTAATGAGATGAAGTGAAACATATCTCGTAGTCACCTGCAAAACAGCATGAACTCGGAACCTAGGAAAATAGAAAGAGCTGTCAGTGTCTGGGGAGAGGAGGGCAGAAGTTGCGAGTGCGACCGGAATATATATTAATCACAGTATTTTCTTCCGCTACATCCGCAAATTCGAAATGCGAATGGCCGGCGGAGCATTCGCTCAGTTAAGTACACTGTAACTGAAAGCTTGCTTGTCATACCATCTTCTGTTGTATTGTGCTCCAGCCTTGCACCCCCTTCACCAGCATCAACATCAGTAAATTTTCCCGTAGGAGAAGTCAATCGCATTGTAAGATAGGTTTTTTCCTCTATTGTAGGCTGAAAGTGTTAAATATCTCACAGTCAAGAAAAAACAACTTAATGCTGCAAGGTCATGGAAATACTTACGCTAACATCTAATTTTATATTCATGTCTTTTTCAAGAGTCTCGTAGAAGCAAGTCAATTTCGAGCTGGCATCCAGCACTATCCATCTGCCCGTGAAAGTCTCACCACTAGTCGATGTGAATAAAGTGATAGCATGCGCTCCGAGTGCAAAAATCAAAAGTTTCAAAAATGTTCTCATCTAAACAAGGACGTTATAATGCAGAGAATCGTTTTGTAATCAGTAATAAAGCAAATAAAATGTTCTTGTTTTTTGAGCAGTTGGAAGCTCTGCCAACGCAACTGATGCAACCTGCTGAAAAAAAATGGAATAACACTTACTACAGCTAGGAGATGGTGTAGCACTGAATAATTAGAGCATTGGACCAAATCGATTGTGGGAACATTGTCTGAGCAAACATTCGATGTTTTCAAATATTCATAACAGCCACGGTACGAAAATGAGCGTTCGGGTTGCGCAGTCCGAAATTTGCGCATAATCAAGCAATTTTTCATCACTTTCTTGGACTACAATGAACTAAGAGATTCTGTACAGAGATGTGGCGGTAGAAAAACACAACTGTATCAGTATAGTAAATACTTGGTTTTCTTCGTTCTTATTAATAAACGGAAATATCTTGGACATGACCATATGTTTTAAAACGCTGCCATTTGGTTGATAGAGAAATTAGCATTTCGATGATCTGGGTGAAAGGTGAAATTTTTTGGCACTGACGTTAAGCCAGAGTCCGTCTATGACAGAAAAAAAGCAGTGACGAAATTGATATGGAATTTACTCAACGAGAAAATGTCTCTAAAAACTTCCCACACTTCGCGTGTAATAAATGGCGGGCGAGAAAAGCATACAGCGCTGGCCACATTTATAGATCCATCCTGAAAAATGGGTAGCTTATCTGCTTTTTAACGAATTGATCTGAAATTTGGTACAGCTGTGTGTTTAGCACGCAACCATCCGTATCCAACACGGATCCCGCTTTCATTTGATTGTTTAGAAAAGAAATAAAATTTTTAGAAAAAACAGGCTTGAGGGCTGGCAAAAATTATAGATCCACCTAAAGTTTCTGTCACTAAAGTTTCTCGGCTTCCAAAGTATTTTGTGCATACACAAAGTCAAAAACCCAAACAGTTTCATTAGTCCAGCTGTGTCATACGTTTATAAGAAACGCTTATCTGCTTTGTTCACTTAAAAATACTTTCTTAAAATACTAAAATATTTTATTCTGTTCCCGAGAATGTGTTTTATGGGTGACTCCGCAGTTTTTTAACTGGTTTGCAAGCAACGGGGCTCCGCCTATCTTATAAATGCTTAGCAAAGTGAGCACTAGAAAAAAATTTGAGTTTTCATATTTAAATGGACATAGACCTAACAGCAAACCTGCAGGAAAATTTTCGCCTCTAAGATTGGTTTTTGCTACTTCTGCGAGCTCAAAATAATGTGATAGCATTATCTACGTAAAAAGAAGTTGGTACATTATACTCACGATTGTTCGCTAAGTCACAATTTACTTGTTTTCAAAGTAAAAGTCTCGTGGTTCAATGATAATGTTAGGCAATCCCAAAATACTTACTAAGTGGTAACTTTTGATTATTGCCACTATTTAGCTGCTGAATTGTGAAAACACCCTGTATTGTATGTTGCCTAGTGACTCACATGAGGAATGTGGTCAGAACCAGACATATTTTCGAGGCTTCTTGCAAATCAGTTTTTGCAGAATTAACCTGCATGCTAGCTGCAAAAATCTGCAGCCACTGCATGCGGACTCTCATACATACGTGTCGAAATAAAGGTTTTCGGTCTTGTCATGCTGGTGGGTAGATAGTGATAGATAGTGCAAACACCCATATTGTATGTTGCCTTGGGACCTACCCTCGACTCGATACATGGAGTCATGTACTCTGGTAACCTTCTCTTTGAGGGCCATGAGACGACACAACCTTCACCTGAAAAAAAAGGAAGGCATCCAAGGAGAAGCCCCGGATGTTACAATCCTGAGTATATCGGAACGAATATGAATGAATCAACTATTGGGAACATACCTTTAGATTATCTCAGCGAAACCGAGAATTTGCGTTTTTAAAGCGTTTTTTCGAGAAGGTTCCTTTCAAAAGTTCCCCAAAATTCAAGGCAAAATTTCTCATTTAACCTCTTACTTAGCCAATATTGAATTTTGGAAGTTTAGAAAAGCTGTTGAAATTAAATAAAAACGAGAGACTGCGCTTAAATTTTGCGCAGAGAGTCGCGCACTAAAACGCTGGTCTATATCGTTAACAAGTGATTTTGAAAGCTTGGGACGTTGCCAGTTTTCCTTGGCGTATCATGACGACCAGAATGATATATAATGTTGTAGGATTTCGTTGAGACCCTGCGGAGATCTACCAGAGCCAAATGCCCCGTCGGCTCTGGTCTGTCTCCGCTGCTCGTCTCGTCTCCTCCGCGCGCTGCGCGCTACCTCGCTACCCCAATGCGGGGCGCGGGGCATTTGGTTCTGGTACCCTTTTCTTCGTTGCTTCGAATCGAATTTAAGCTAGCTATATATCATTTGAAAGCTCTTCGTCTCTACTTTTTTGCTGATAACGTCAAAGAACCACAATTTTTGACTTTGAACGAGAATTTCGGCAAAACCTTGTTTTCGAAAACCTCTTGTTTCCTCAACATCTCAGGGAACAGGAACGTCAATGCGGGCGTAAAAGTTAAAGGACGCATTAAGAACCAAATTTGACTTTGACGTACATTTCGACTTAGTAAAAATACTTAACTAACTAATTTCATTACTAATTTCTTTCTTGTTTATCTTCTTCTTGATAACCACTCCTTAAACATGGTTTTTTTGAAGCAATCACAAAAAACAATTTTTTTCATTGTCCTCCCTATGTTGCGAATTGCTGGTCTTGGAGTGAAAACCTGCACCTTGAAAAGCCGCCAAATAAAAGATTTCAAACCTCATTGCAGCGTTTTTATCCGGTTTTCAGCAGTTTCTTTTGCTTTTTGTATCTGTTTTGCGTCTTTTTCTCTTCTCTGACCTAAACAACCTTCACTTCTGACGCCCTGTCTCTAGACTATCGAAGGTGTGCTTGTGACTCACATGAGCATTATGGTCAAAATCAAAAATAACTTCAAGGCTTGTTGCAAATCACTTTTTGCAGGACAAATATCTCAGTCAGTCTGCATGCCAGGGCCTGCATCTGCAACCACTGCATACGGAATCTCATACGTTTAAACAGTTTCATTGCTCACTTTACGCTTATGAGAACGTTGCAGAAAGAGTTGAAGGCATAAATTTAAGCGCAGGCGCCTGCGGTTATGTCTATGTCGGGTGCGCTTTTAATATAAGAAATCAAATTTTTTCTAATGCTCACTTCATTAAGAATCTATAGGATAGATGGGGCCCTATCGCTTCCAAACCAGTCAACTGTGGAATCACCGTAAAAGCACAATCTCGGTAACAAAATATGCGTGAAAATATTAAGAAAAGCAAATAGGCGTTTCTTATAAAGGTATGACACAGATGTACTAAAGAAAATGTTTTGGCTTTTGACTTTGTACATGCGCGAAAGACCCTGGAAGCCGAGAATCACTATAGTAATCAGAAGCTTTAAGTGGATATATGGTTTTGGCCAGCCTTCAAGCCTGTTTTTACCAAAAAATTTTAATTTTTTTCTGAATAACCAAACTGAGGTGGGATCCGTTCTGGTTACTAATGGTAGCCTGTTAAATAAGCGTGCCAAATTTCATATCAATTCGTTGAGAAGCAGATAAGCTACGGCAGTTTTCAAGGTGGATCTATGGTTTTGGCCAGCACTGAGTTAATTCATTTGAAAAATCTGTTGTTTAAACTCTAGATTCTCTTTTCTCTGAATCTGGGTCATGTCGCATTTTAAAGTAACAGATGTTCTGCCAAGCCCGTAATACGGTAAATTTTTATTGACCTTGACCTAACGTTCCAACGAAGCCCTATCCATTTCTAAATTTCGATCTGCACCGCGATCGCGCCAGTACAGATAATCATTCTAGCTTAGAGCGCTTTCCATCTTAGAACTCGAGTTTATGCTGTTATGAGAAGTATCGAGCCTAGAAAGAAGAAGTCATTTAGTTTCGTATGCTTGTCGTTGGTTTCAAATGGATTTAGCAGACTTAGCACAACTGGTACGCAATGTGAATGAATGTGTGATGTTAAGAGTGATTACCTTATCACATTTTTTATCATGTCGAGACACCCAAATCGGATAGACTGGGCACTCTTTGTGTTTGGATCAAAGAACATTTGGATGGACTAAATAAGTTATGTCACGTCATGAAAATGCTGAAGTTCAAATTTCAGTGAAGATCTTATCGTTTGAGCCCGAACTCCTGGCACGCAAAACGTTGGAAGCATTTTGGATTGCTGCGAAAAATCCTATTGATTTTGACTGAAGCCAGATCACTTAGGCGAAATAGAGGTTGGAGGCACAGTCCTGCATAAGGTGGTCTGCTCTTTAGTTACCTGTTGTGCTGCGTTTATGGTGATTATGTGTTCTTGTGGCTCTGAGTGTCTTTGATTAATCTTTTCGGTTTTTTTTGGTTTCTTGGTATTTTCCTTTTCGGGTTTGTTTTGTTCCTAGCACTTGACGTCTGAATGGATAGTACTTGACGTCTGAATGGATAGTTACTTATAACTTCATCTTTCCAGGCTCTGAAGAAGGCGTAGACCTTCGAAACGTCAACGTCAGCCAACAAAGTTATACCAATCTTGGTCAAGCTCAGCAATTACCGAAAAAGTGTATAAAAGCAATGCGAAGATTCAAAGAAAACCGAACTTCCGCCTTACTAAATGGATGAGTTTTTGAAATCAATTTTTTAGTACAAAATGAATAAGCGCAAAGTAGATCCATGTAGTAATTTTGAATTTTCGAACAAAAATTATGGAAATTAGCGACAATCAGGCAAAGATGTAAATTCAGGAAATTATTCCAGCGTTTACTGGAAGAGTTGCATTGCTGACATAACTGCTAGTATAAGATGGTTCTGCATTAGCCACCGCTCAAATTTTCTGTTTATCTTCACTTTTGCGGATTTAGAGTTGGGCGTCATCTTCAAACATGGGGGGCAGGCGTTATGGAGCAAAGCAGCGCCGCATTCCCCTGCGGTATATTCTGAGGGCCATTTGCGTTGCGTCGCCTTTAATTGCAGCCGCAGGAGTACGC